CACCCCCCACGCCCTGTGCTGGAAACCTTCGTTTGTGGAAGCAACCAGAGATGCTCTCGCGGAGTGTGTTTGCCCTTTTTTTCTCTTGTACGGGGGATGTGGTGACATCGCGAACATTCACGGTTACTGTGGGATTTAAACAGCAGATGTGACCTTTCCAACCAAAAGCCATTCGGCAGACCTGGCCAGTGTGTGATCCTCAGGTGCAGCGTTTCATTGATTTTTACCATTGAATTCCGATCCGAGATCTACGGTATTAGGTTTTCCTTTCACTGAAATAATCAGATAAAACCGATTGACAGGATGTTTACTATGTATGTGAACCCTTGCCTCGACTTCCAGTGCCTTAAAAATCGTTGTTTCCTGTGGGAAAATGGTGCTACTGCATGCGAAAAACTATTTTTTGTTCAGTGATGGGCATGAGTTGGTCAGTGCCAAGTTGTTATTGTAGTATGAAAACGAAACAATTAAAGAAAAACAAAACCTTTTGCTTTGAGATAGCAGCATATTTCCAGGTTGGAATTATTTGATAGCAGGTTTGGAACAGTTTCCACCATCAGACGGGGTAACAAATAAACAACATAAAACAACCAAAAATATGTTTGATTAAAAAAATAAATAAACTAGATGTGCTAGTAGTGCGTACGTCTAGGAAAATAGAAATCTCGCTTGAAAAGAAAAATAAAACTTTAACAGGGGATGCTAAGCATAGGAATCAGTTTTTTTTTTGATATTTAAAAATACATACTGCATTAGACTGACTTGGGAGCCCTTCCTATGATATTTGAGCATCAGTGGTGCATGTTACACTGTGAACCATTCATTCTCTGGCTGGTAGAAATATAGGTTTCTACTACTAGTGTCTTTTTGTGAGTTGAAATTGATTCATGTAAAAAATGTTATGCTTCTAATTTAAAATTTCTGCAGAAAGGAGATATGAATTAGAAACATGATGTTCTCGTCTCACATGGAAAAGTTTTTTTAAAAAAGTAAATGACAGTGTGCTGTTTCAATATTAGTTGGATTCTCTACTTTGACAATTCTTAAAATCCACTGCTCAACTTTGTAATTTTAAGAGTTTACATCAGGCATTTTTAATTTCATGCATGAGCTTCAGAGGGTCCTTGAATCCTTGGGAATAATATGAATGTAGCATATATTTGCATTTTCTTCTGGGTAAAGGGTCCATGGAGTCAACACATTCTCAAAAAGATCTGGCTATGTAAAGAATTATGAACCACTGGATATATAATTAAATAATAAATCTCCTATGTAAGGAAAATTAAAATTCTTAGGATTAGATTTGATAATTTATATCTTTCACTTCCAATTATGCATAAGAAATGTTTGTTATTGATAGTTTAGCACATAGTAGTCATTTATCATGCATTCTTATTGAGACCTCAGGAAAATGTTAATCCCATTTTACAGATGGGGAAATAGCTATCTAGAGAAGCTTGTTCAAAGTCATAGCCACTGGCGGGCCAGCATTTGAGCCCAGACTGTCTAAAGCCAGAGCCAGCACTCCTAACAACAAGGCTGCACTTGGCTCTAAGTCAATGACAGCATTTGCTTGATGTTAAAATGAGTAATTGATGTTTCGTTGTAGTTGAAAAGTGGATCTGACATTGTCATAACACAAAATATCATGGGATTTTTGAGCCACTGACTCTGAGTAGGAAGAGACCTTAGTGATACTAACCTCTCTTAATGATACTAGTCTGGAATGACACTCAAAGTAGGGCCATTTCTACATTATTCGTGGCAGGATTATCCCGACCCTGTTTTTTTACTTCCTGTGATTACAAGTTCACTTTTTTTTTTTACATTTTTAATCTCTTTCTATTTATGTGAGTTATCTATTTCCACTAAGTTCCAGTTCCCTCTTTGTATGTGTAATGCATTTGTCATCCATAAAAGAATTAAGAGATAAATGACTTCTACTCTATAATTTTTTTGTAGTCAGGTTTATTGGGTATAATTTACATGTGGTAAAAGTTTTCGCAGATGTATACAATTGGCTGATCACCACCACAATCAACATATGGAACATTTCTATCACTCCAAAAGTTCTCTCATGCCCCTCTGTAGCGAATCCGTTCCCTCTACCTCCAGGCCTTGGCAACTGTTAATCAAATTAATGTCCCTGTTGTCTTTCTAGAATATCACATAAATGAAATCGTACAGTATGTAGTCTTTGGTGTCTTCTTCCATTTATCGTAATCCTTTTTTTCTTTTTCCAACATCTTTATGGGAGTATAATTGCTCTACAGTTGTGTGTTAGCTTCTGCTATATATAACAAAGTGAATCAGCCATACGTATACACATATCCCCATATCCCGTCCCTCTTGCGTCTCCCTCTCACCCTCCCTCTCCCACCCCTCTAGGTGGTCACAAAGCACCGAGCTGATCTCCCTGTGCTATGTGGCTGCTTCCCACTAGCTATCTATTTTATATTTGGTAGTGTATATATGTCCATGCCACTCTCTCACTTCGTCCCAGCTTACCCTTCCCCCTCCCCGTATCCTCAAGTCCACTCTCCACGTCTGTGTCTTTATTCCTGTCCGGCCCCTAGTTTCTTCAGAACCATTTTTTCTTTTAGATTCCATATATATATCATAATACTTTTGATATTCATTAAGTTGTTGCATGTATCAGTAGTTTGTTAAGTGGTATGCTGATAAACATTGTAACAGCCTGCTCTCCAAAAAAAAAAAACAATCCCTGATTGATAGCATCTGCTAATTATTGCAGTGTGTATACTCTCATCATGGCCCATGTTAAGCTACCTAAATCAGCTTGCAAAACTCCTGAAAATTAACAGTGGGCTTTCATAAGCCGTACCAGTCAGCCCTAGCACGCCACTGAATTTGTTCCTTTGTATTGTTGAGTAGCATTCCATTATATTGAGGTACCACGATTTGTTCATCCGTTCATGAGTTGGACATTTGAGTTGTTCTCCGTTTTGGACGATTATAAATAAAGCTGCTGTAAACAGTTATGTACAAGTCTGTGTGTACGACAAATGTTTTCAGTTTTCTTGAGTTGTACCTAGGAGTGGGGTTACTGGGTCCTATGAAAAGTGTATATTTATCAATATTGGTAACTTTATATTGAACTGCCAAACTGTTTTCCAAAATGACTGCTGTTTTGCATTCTTATCTGAAGCAACGTAAGAAAATTTCAGTTGCTCTGCACCCTTGTTGACACTTAGTATTGTCAGTTATTAAGACTTTAGCTGTTTGTTATATGTCTAGTGGTCTCCTTTAATGTTTTTGACTTCTTAATTCTTACTTTCAATAGTATTTGAACCAGCGTAGGAAGTTTATGACAGACATTGCTAAATAATTTTTTTTTTTTGGGCCTGGTCATCGGTCATGATCTCAATATGAAGGCAGTAGCACTTAAAGGATGTTTCTTTGAGTTTCTTATTGTACAGTTGGCTTTCACTTATTAAAATTGCTTTTATAAAAGAAAGCATCATTAGAGAATTCTGATACTTAGCTCTTAATATTTTTTAATGTGGTTTTAGAAAAAGCTAGGTAAAGTTTTGTTTCTTTAAGAAAAATTTAGAATTAAAAAATTCTCAAATGATAAAGCATTTCTTCGATTTTTACTTGGACTTAAAGGGAAAACAATAGACTGAAATAATTCAGTCAAGTAGTCTTTGAAGTCATCCCAGATATTGTAAGGAGCATTAATCCATGAATAATTGCAGCATTACTTTTCAATGTTTAGAAAGCTAATTTTCATGTAATATTACAATGTGTGTTCCCCTCTGTTAAGGTGACTTTTGAGCAGAGGTTTAACGCATTTAAGGGAGTGAGAGAGTTTTAGATCTGGGAGAAAAGCAGGTGCTGAGGCCCTGAAGCAGGAGGGTGTTGAAGTGTTTAGAGAACACTAGGGGGTTGGCTGGAGGGAGGTGAGAGCTGAGGTCAGGGTAGTGGAGGCCCACGGACCCTGTAGGCAGTGTAAGGACTTCTGATCTCAGTTTGAGCCTAGAGCGTGTCCTCTGCACGGACAGAGAAGTGTTCTGTTTCCTGCTTGAAGTTTCTGAAGTGTGCTACCCTCTCCTTCCTGGAAGCTGATCCTTTTAACAGAAGTAGTACTTGGTTGTCCCTCCCCTGTGTGTTCCCTTAGCACCTTTTGTCATACCTTTACTTAATAGCTGCTTTATTTATCTGTCTCCTCCCCCTAGATGGAGGTCCTAGATATTTCTTTTAAACCTCTGAACTCCTGTTTCATTGGATGAATGCTTGTGGAATTATGTTGCTGAAAATGGTGTTAATCATTAAAAACTGGGTAGGAGATACCCAAGAGTATTGCTCATGTGGACGTGGATTCTGTCTGTTTTGCTGACTGCTGTATATTTAGTGCTGGGGCAATGAGCTCTGTATAATAGGTGCTCAATAAATACTTGATGAATGACTGAGTGGATATCCATGTGCCAGCCTCTGCTCACTCTTTCCTCTGCTTCCCTTGGGCAAATCCCTTAACATGTTTACCATGGGCAAATCCCTTAACATGTTTCCCTATGGCCTTCCTTCCTCTAACTGCATGCTCAAGAAATGCCAAA